GGGTGTGACGATGTAGTTTGGAACGCCGGCATTGAAGGCAGGCGCGAGCCCAGGTACGAAGATCTTTGTTTACACGTGGCCAAATGAAACGCTCGGTGACCAGTTTCAAAGATGCGCGGATACCGGGATGTGATAGTGAGTGCAGTGCGTCAAAGACTGCGTATGAAGGAGACGGGCACGAGGGGTCTAGGACAACCTGTGGAAGTGCCACAGAGAATGGTTCCTTCCGTGGTTAGGAGGAACAGGTTGCACATGCAGCGAAGTGGAGTGCAGAATACGCTGTATATCTTCGTCTTGAGCCTGAGTGGATGCCATTGCGGCAAGGTCGACGGTAGGTACGGACTGAAAAGTGAGGTTGACGCGTGAGAGAGCGTCGGCGACGGGATTGTCGACACCTGAGACATGACGTAAGGCAGCAGTGAACTGCGTGACAAAGTCTAGGTGTCTTGTTTCCCGTGGTGAGTATTTGTCGCTAGCAGAGTCGAAGGCAAAGATAAGGGGCTTGTGGTCAGTGTAGACCGTGAAAGCGCGGCCATCGAGTGTGCCGGAAGTGACGTATTGCTAGGTAAATGGCGAGCAGTTCGCTGCCAAACGTGCTGTAGCAGGATTCCGCTGGCTGTATGTGCTTGGAGAAGAACCCAAGGGGTTGCCATTGCCTACCAACGTGTTGTTGGAGGACGGCTCCTACCGCGACATCTGAGGCATCAGTCGTAATAGAAAGAGGTGCAGTCGAATTAGAATGAGCGACGAAGACTATGTTGGAGATAGCATCCTTGAGTTCGGCGAACGCTGCCTTTGCTTTGTCAGGAAAAGCGAACTTACGTTCATTTCCTCTGAGTAAGTCAGTGGTTGCATGAGCTGAGCGCAGCGCAGAATGAAGCGTCGATAGTAGTTGACCAAACCACAAAATCGACGGAGGCACTTGAACGAAGTCGGAGCTGGGAAGTCCTTGATTGCCTGGATCTTATCAGGAAGGACTTCGATACCAGATGATGAAAGGTGGCCTAGGAATTCTACCGTTGATTTGCCGAGTCCGCACTTAGTCGGGTTGACTGTGAAACCGTGCTGGGTCAAGCGCTGCAAGAGAGTTCGAAGATGCTCGAGGTGTTCTAGTCCCGATGAACTGGCTACTAAAATATTATCGAGATAGGAATAAGTGAAGTCTAGGCAACGAGTGACATTGTGGATGAAGCGTTGGAAGGTTTGTGTGGCGTTGCAGTTCAAATGGCATTCTTAAAAATTCAAACAAACCGAAAGGAGTGATGACGGCTGTTTTAGGAATTACATTGTCTTCCACAGGTATCTGGTGATAGGCGAAAATCAGCTCGATCTTGCTGAAGATCGTCTTACCTGTGAGGCATGCGGTAAGGTCCTGCATATGTGGGATGGGATACCTATCTGGGACGGTTAGGCGATTGAGTGCGCGGTAATCACCGCAAGGGCGCAAGTCACCAGATTTCTTGGGGACCACCTGCGGAGGCGAGGACCAAGGGCTGTCGGAAGGGCGGATTATTCCAAGTTCAAGCATGTGCTCAAACTCCGCCCCAGCTACCTTTAGTTTCTCAGACGATAGTCGGCGTCGACGGCATGACACAGGTGGGCCGTTCGTCCGTTTGTGGTGCGTGACTTGAGCTGCCACGGGCAAAACTGCGTTCATTGGCTGAACGAGCTTGGGATACTGAGAAAAGATATTAGCGTAGTCCGGCGACGTCTGGGGAAATGCATAGACCGGGGATATAGATGGGACATCGGCGGTGATACCACGTACACTGAGTTTTGTTGCAGCGTCGACTATCATCTGGCGTTTAGCATCGACCAAGAGGTCTAACTGCCTGAGGAAGTCAATGCCGATGATGGCAAAGGGGACTGCAGCGACGGTGAATATCCAGCGGAATGTGCGCCGAAGACCTAAGTTCAGGGTAAGCGACCGATGACCGTAGGTGGCTATTGGCGTGCCATTGGCGGCACTGAGGCTTGTCGACAGAGAAGCGGTAGGCTCACCTGGCATAGGGGGAATGATGCTGACTTCCGCCCCGGTATCAACTAAGAACTGGGTATCGGAGTCATAATCCGTTAAGTAGATGAGGCGACTGGGCTTTGCCGACGTTCGTGGCCATTACAACCCGGCGTGGTGGATCGTCCATAGCGCAGTAGCTACACGGCTGTACGCACTTACGGGATTTATTACCGAAACGCAAGTGGTAAAAGCAGTAACCTGTGGCATCAGGTTTTGTGCGACGGGGCGATGATCCAGAGCGGTTGCGGTGCTTACGGTTTAAAGTGAGTTCCTCGATCTGGCACTGAAGCGACGCTATCTGCAGCGATAATGCGTCTATTGCCGACGCC